AGACGTCGGACAGGGCAAGATATGACAAAATACCCATTTATAAACTATCAGGGGTTCATGTGGGAGGGGGGAGCGGGGAGAGAGGGAAAAAATGAGGACCTAATGTCGGGGGTTTCAATGGACAGAAAATGTTTTGAGAAACGATGTACAAATGCGCTTTAAATAATTGATGTGTGTATGGATTGGGATAACAGTTGTATGAGCCCCTAATAAAATGTTAAAAAAAAAAAAAAGTTGGGTCTTCAGTTTTCAGTTTCATTTGTTTTTTTAATAAATAAAAATGGGTAGAGGACAGTAAAGATCACAAGTCTTATGCTTTCTAGCATACCTGAAGTTATGACCAGTCACATTATGATATACTACATCAAGCCGGTGGGGGGAGTCCTCCTTTGTAAAGGCAGTGGGTCTTTTAACATGGCTCTTCTAGCCCAAATCTCTTCACTCCCCCCAAAACACCACCTTTCCCTGCATGGGTCTGGGAAGGAGGTGGGGAAAGATTCTAATAGGCTTCCCCTGTGAGTCGTGTGACCAGGCTTCCCTGGAGGGCCATCCTGCTGCATAGAAAATGAGTCCTCTGGGAGGCAAGAGGAGGGATCTCAGGACTGGCAAAAAGCCAGGAGTGGAGCACATCTTCTGGACCCCAGGTCTCTGTGAACCTCCTGATCCAGAAGAGAGACCATCAGAGGGGCAGCAGCAGAACCAGGAGCCGGAGCACGGGGAAGAGTGGCGGACTACCCAACCCGGAGCAGGTCCAGCTGAGTGCTTTTGCACAGGAGGCTGGCTTGCAGAGTGGGGTGCCTCTGGGTACTTAATTGGGGAAGCTGGACTTGCTGACCCACAGAAGTGGAGCCGCTGTGCCTTTGGGCTTAGGTTTATGGGGGTGGAGTGCCTCTGGGCATTGAATTCCGGAAGCTGGGTTTGCAGACCACAGAGCTGAATGCCTCGGGGTTGAGGCTTGCAGCAGAGTGGTCTGCCCCTTTGGGCACGGATTAGCAGACCTGAAACTCTGTAGCATGTCCTGGTAAACAACGCCCCTGAGCATTTCTCTCTGACATTAAGGCTCGGCTTGTTGACATCCTTACTGAATCCTTTCATCATGAATTTTGCCTGAGAGTTCGGTGCAGCCATTGCAATGGCTATCAGGCGCTGGACATTAAATTGAGAGGTAGAGACTACTGAGACACTCTATCCTTACTTCAGAGGAGGGGGTACAGGTGGGGCAGCAACACTTGACGAAGGATGGAGTTAAAAGCTCGCTGTTGCACTAGCAGCCAGGAGCAGGTTTCATCAACATCAAGAGTCCGCCAGGAGAGAAGCTGACGGCTTGGAGGCCGGACGCAGGCTGCCAGCGGAAGGCAGTGCTGGAAGCAAAGGGCGTGGCCAGGAGGCATGGCTGAGACGCTCTGGGGCAGAGAGGGCAGCTGCAGCCTCATCGATCACCACTGCACACTGGGCCTTGCCTGCTCAGGGTGGCAGACAGCAGGGGGCCACCAGGGCCCCTTGGCAGTGAACCCAGGACAAAAACTGCTCAGCAGTCATTTTCAGGTTCCTTCACATACTGCTGCCCCCAATCGCCTCTCTGCAATGGAACCCACCGGTCCCACCCATCTTGACTCACTGTCCTCACCACCCCCTGCTTCTGCCCTGGAAGCAATTATTCGTTAACCACGGGGATTTGTCACCCAGCCACGCACGAGGCTGCGGGGAACGACCTGTGGCCGCGTCTTGCTCCCAGAGGCACAGGAGGTGAGGGTCTGAGCGCAGGCCCCGTCTGCGGGGCCCCATCCTCCTCCACAGACTGCTGATGGAGGCCCTGGGGTGGATACCCGGGTCCAATTCCCTCATCTGACAGCAAAGGAAACTGACGGCCAGAGAGGTCAGCCCATCTCAGGTCACCCGGCTAGTTCTTCCTCAGTGACTTAGACCCCAGGTCTCTGGACTCCAAATCAGTTCTCTTATCCCTCCAGTGCCTCCCTCTTCAAAAGGCCTTTCGGTGGAAAGCTCCTCTGTGTGGGGATCTGGCCGTTCCCGATGTGTGCCTCTGGGTCACCGAATGACCCATTCAGGCTGGACACTCATCCAGTGACCACCAGAGTCCCTGCTTCCCTCCCCGCCCAGCACCTAGTCATCTGTGGAGGGCAGCCTGTCTCGGTTACTCCCATCTACAGCTGGGTGCCCCCCACCCCCACCCCGATGCAGACATACATGAAAAAGCAAGAAGCCACTGACATCGAGTGGATTCTGCCTCACAGTGGCTCCACTGGGACACAGTAAAACTGCCCCACAGGGTCATCTTGGGCATGTCTTATGGAAGCAGGCGGTCAGGCCTGTCTCCCCTGGTGCATCGGGCAAGTGCATGTCCCTCACCTTTGGGCTGGTATTGGAACACCAGGGCCTGAGGTCAACCAGGGACCTAGATGGCACAGGAGAGGAAGAGGGCAGCTTCCTGGTGTCCGTGCTGCCTCTCTGCCCACAACACAAGGGAGGGAAGCCGGAGCGTGCCGGTAGTTGCGGTGCAGTGCCGGGTGGGCTAGAGTGTTTCCTGGAGGCTTTCCCACGTGCGGTGGGGAAGTCGAGCCAGGAAGGATCTTCACGTGAGCAGTCGGACAAAGGGTGTTACTGAGGGCTCCAGAGTCCAAAGGCAGGACTCTCGTCAGCACAGCGAACGAGCTCCCAGACATGTGGCACTGATTAGGAAAGACAGCTCCTCGGCCTAAATGCTCCAGGATCCCCTCTGTGCTCAGAGCTCTCACTCTGTGCCCGGTCTTTAGGAAAAGGGGCCTGTGTTTCCTCACGTATGCCCCTCACCCACACACCCACACCAAACCTAATGCCCTCCAGTCCGCTCCGACTCCCGACAACCCTGTCTTTGGGTGACAGAGTAGAACAGCCGCACGGGGTCTTCCTGGCGGGACTCGCTTTCTTCCACTGCACCACTAAACCCAACCCAACTCACTGCCATCGAGCGGATTCCGACTCTTAGCAACCCTGACAGGGCAAGGTCGTAGGACCACCCCTGTGGGTTTCTGAGACGGTCTGGCTTTATGGGAGTAGAAAGCTTCATC